TGCGTGTGTGTGGGTGTAGTGTGTGGTGTGGTGGTGTGTGGTGTGTGGGTGCTGTGTGTGTGTGGTGGTGGTGTGTGTGTGTGCTGTGGTGGGGTGGTGTGGTGTTCGTGTGTGGCCGAGCATTACTATACTTGTTGTGGGGACCTAAATCTGTTTACACAGTCACGTGTGGGGACTCGCTTCCCTTATGGGGACAAATTGGAGGTCCCCATAAGGGGAATCATTAATTTTAGGGTGAAGACTTGGTTAGGGTTAGGCATGTGTTGGTTAAGGTTAGGATAAGTCTCCAGGAAATGCATGTAAGTCAATGTAATGTCCCCTGAAGTGATGTATACATGGTATGTGTGTGTGTGTGTGTGTGTGTGTGTGTGTGTGTGTGTGTGTGTGTGTGTGTGTGTGTGTGTGTGTGTGTGTGTGTGTGTGTGTGTGTGTGTGTGTGTGTGTGTGTGTGTGTGTGAGAAAGAAAGAGAGAGAGAAATGGAGGAGAGAGAGGGATAAATAAGAGAAAACGCATTACCAAATTTAATAATTTAACTGAGCTAGACGCGGCGAGGGACTGGCGTCAAAGGACCAGGGTGAGAGAAGAAAGGGAAAGGGAGAGAGGGACTCATAGACAGAGAGGGCAGCAAAGCGGGCATGATTTGTGGGGGAGGGGGGGTGAGAAAAGGCTGCAGCGAGATGAGAAGTCCAGACATGAAAGAGGACGATAAGAGGGCCAAGTGAGATGCAGAGAGGAAGAAAGATGCGAAAAGAGAGGAGGAGGAGAGACAGAAGGAGGGAGGATGAACAGCAGGGCGACATGCTCACGTACTGAGAGTTTATGCCTGCTCAGGCAGAATAAAACAATATGACTTATATCGCGCTGAGTTTTCAATTACGGCCGTCGAGCAAATGAGAGGAAGCCTAATCGAAGCGAGAGACGCGGTGGGGGCAGACGAGACGGACTAAAGCAGCGGTGGGGAGATAGTGTCTTCATTAAAGAGTGCTTTCCCATATCTGTCCTGATCTGCCTCCAACCTTTAGTGTCACAGTTCATTTAACTCTGGGCCAAAAGAGAGGGGAGGGGTGGGGGGTGATACAGGGAGGGAAGGACATAGGATGAAACAGGAGGAAAGGAGAAGAGTGGAACCTAGATCAGAAGTTAGGGGAAAGAGGAGAGAAGGAGAGAGGAAACAGGAGAAGAAAAGAGGAAACTGGAGGAAAGGAGAAGAGTGGAACCTAGATCAGAAGTTAGGGGAAAGAGGAGAGAAGGAGAGAGGAAACAGGAGAAGAAAAGAGGAAACTGGAGGAAAGGAGAAGAGTGGAACCTAGATCAGAAGTTAGGGGAAAGAGGAGAGAAGGAGAGAGGAAACAGGAGAAGAAAAGAGGAAACTGGAGGAAAGGAGAAGAGTGGAACCTAGATCAGAAGTTAGGGGAAAGAGGAGAGAAGGAGAGAGGAAACAGGAGAATAAAAGAGGAAACTGGAGGAAAGGAGAAGAGTGGAACCTAGATCAGAAGTTAGGGGAAAGAGGAGAGAAGGAGAGAGGAAACAGGAGAAGAAAAGAGGAAACTGGAGGAAAGGAGAAGAGTGGAACCTAGATCAGAAGTTAGGGGAAAGAGGAGAGAAGGAGAGAGGAAACAGGAGAAGAAAAGAGGAAACTGGAGGAAAGGAAGAAGAGTGGAACCTAGATCAGAAGTTAGGGGAAAGAGGAGAGAAGGAGAGAGGAAACAGGAGAAGAAAAGAGGAAACTGGAGGAAAGGAGAAGAGTGGAACATAGATCAGAAGTTAGGGGAAAGAGGAGAGAAGGAGAGAGGAAACAGGAGAAGAAAAGAGGAAACTGGAGGAAAGGAGAAGAGTGGAACCTAGATCAGAAGTTAGGGGAAAGAGGAGAGAAGGAGAGAGGAAACAGGAGAAGAAAAGAGGAAACTGGAGGAAAGGAGAAGAGTGGAACCTAGATCAGAAGTTGGGGGAAAGAGGAAAGAAGGAGAGAGGAAACAGGAGGAGAGAAAAGTGTAAGTAAAACGATCAGGCAAGAAAAGAAAGTGCTACTCTCTCTGTGTCTTTGACTACTAAAGCCCTTTGCAACCAGTAGCCAAGCTGACGAGTGTCACGTTTTTGTCACCGCTGATATTTAGAGGGGAAAACAGAAAGGGATTTTAGATGAAAAGAACAGGAAAGAGCAAAGGGGAAGGACAGAGAGGAAAGGAACAGAATGATGGGGACAGGCATGTACTGACAGAAAGAGAGAAAAGACTGGATGAAAGAGACGTTTGGTGTCAGACAGAAATAGAAAGGTAAAAAAGGGGGCAGCTGAAATGTACTTTGAAAGGACAAGGCATCGCTCCATGCAGGTCCCTAAAAACGGTTGACACCAGATTATCTCACACTACTTTATCCCGTCTGTGTGAGTTCTTTGAGTGCATCGAGTGCGAACAAATGAATAATGCAACACATTTGACGGCAATTTGTACTTTTAAACAATGTTTGTCTGTATTTATTCAAATCTGAGATGGAGAAAATAATAGCCATAAGCCTGAGTGAGAGATGCTTTGCATAGATTTGTCCAAACTCTTTTTTTCTTTTTGGTGCTCAGTCAACTCTACAAGGTTTTTGAGGAATTCAAATCAGAAAGTGGCATTATACATAAATGCTGATTTAACGGTGGAGTGAAAAGAGTGATTTCTCGGGGGCTAAACCGACTGAAGGCGAGAGAAAAATTAGTCTCAGATGTATTATTGAATCAAGTGCTCCTCTAATTGAGAGAAGCCAAGGGAGACGGAGATAAGGAAAGAAGGATAGATCAAGGTATCAGGCGGATGGATGGCTCAGATTGATCAGAAGCAAAGCAGTATGTGAATTAAAATGTGTTACTTTGTTAATGTGTGAGGTAGTGTGAGAAAATCTGGAGTGTAGCATCTGTGCTTTTACATAATGGTGTACTTGTTACATTTTGTGAAATTAAAACACATTTAAAGTAGTGTATAGAGAGGGGGAGATGTATCTGTATTGACAGGGAGAGAATTTGATTTGTGGTTGCATTAGAAAGATAGAAATGCAGTAAATTCTTACTAATAATTTCTGTTGACGTCCGCTTTCACGACACATAGATCATCACACAGCCTAGATGTATACTTCTATGAACTTGTGCTTGGGAATCGATTAGGCCCTTCCTACATCCAGGACATTGTTAAACCATACACTCAAGCACTTTACTCTGCCAATAGGCCAGCTACTCCTTCACTGCACATGGGACCCAGGTAGCCCTTAACAAAAACACACCTGTTGCTATCCTGGCTCCAAAATGGTGGAACTAGCTTCAATATCAGGAACAATGTTACCCATCCTTCAGCGCAGACTGCAAAAAACACCTGTTCTGACTGCATTTTATAGCCAACATAAAATAAAAAAGGACATTTGTTCTTCTAAGCGGGAATGAAGCACTGAAAAAGGTTGGCTTATTAAAAGCTAATGTATCTGCAGGACTCTTTTTGGAGTTTGTTTCCTCATGGTTCAATGCTTATTTTGAGTCACTTTGGATAAAAGCATCAGCTAATGTAAGGCAACAAAACATTTTGGCAAACAAAACCTTCATTTTCTCCATCCATTATAAACTGCTTCCTTTAAGCAATCTGCTATTCTGTCAAAACATCAGTCATCAGTCCATTCATCAATCAGACCGACATTTCTGATTATATCCACCCATTAGTTTCCTTATCATCTCATAATAGTCAAACAATCCTTAGAGCAGGAGTGTCCAAACTCCCCCCCCCCCCNNNNCCCCCCGAGGGCCACATACAGAGGGGGGCTGCTCACTAGAGGTGATTAATAACACCTTAAGTTAAGTTGGAAAAATCAATCAAATGTAGGTAAATTATTCTTGATACTTGAAAATGCTTTAAGAAAAAAACAGCCTGCATCACAGCTCTCCAGAGGGTTTAATTTATTTTGTTACAAAAAGTGTTGGCAGCTCATTCCTTAAAACATAAGCTTTAGACTGCTTATAATAAGAGGAAATATGAAGGGTATATTTCAAGGTTGTTATGTAAATGTGTTATTGGGCTTTTCTCTTATCAACTTAGATTTGTTAGAAAATGTTTCCAACTTTAATTGACTGAATTTATTTGAAAAATGGTCTTATTAACACATGCATACTACTGTGTAATGTATAGTTTAGAAATACAATATAAGACCGGCAGAAGTTTCATTTGCGCGCCGTATTACATTATACTTTTTGAATTTACTGAGGGACGATTTGGGCAGCATTTGGCCCCCAGGCCGTAGTTTGGACACCCCTGCTTTAACCAATCGACTATTCTGTCAAACCAACAGTCATCAGTCCATTCATCAATCAAACCTCAATTTGTGATTAAATCCACCCATATATATCACTGTATACCCCCCCCCCATTAGTGTCCTTATTTCAATATCTCATAGTAGTCAAACAATCTTTTAGAGCCTTGTTAAGGTACCTGGAATCGCCCGTCCGTTACGCATCCAGCGCAGTGTGGCGGCCGGCTTGCTGCGTGGGGACACACAGCTGAGCTCCACTTCCCCCCCCTCCACGGCCTCCTGCTTCACCTCCACCGTGGGCGTCTCCGGGGGCACGGAGACGGAGAGCGTCGCCACCTGGTGGTGAGTGGCGTCCGTGTAGAGCTGGCAGAAGTAGCCGCCCTCGTCCGACACGCTGACGTTGGTCAAAGTGATGCGCACCAGCCTCGGGGTGAAGAGCACCATCTGGAAACGGTCGTCCTTCAGGGCTGGGGGGTGGACAGAGAGACAATGGGGAGAGGAAGAAGTGGGGTATGGAGGCGGGGGGGCGGAAGAGAGACAGCATGGGAGAGGGTTGTTGGAGAGGAGGGGAGTGGGGAAAGGAGGATGAGATGGGAGGTGTGATGGATGAGAAGATGGGGGGCAAGGGACAGGAAGAGAGACAAGGAGAGGGAAGGTGAGTACATCAGTCATCGGTAGAAAAGAAATCAGTGAAGTGAGACTTCATTCAAATAAATTCTGTATTTCTCTACGTAAAGAGTAACGGTAAAACCAATGGGACAACAACAAAAAGGATTTTACTCTGGGTCAGTTTAATTGATTGTTTTTTTCTGTTCTAGGGCTTCAGGGACAGACTCCGAGCATTAAGAATTGTTTTTGTCACGGTGCTTTGATTGCTTGAAATATTCCGCACACACAAGCTGAGACTGCCAAAGTGAGTGTCATATTAAATAACTTGTTTCAACACTTTTACTGGCAGCCTTTTGCTGGCGTTATTACCAGCCGTGACAGTGACACTGGTATTGTTTTCAGAGTGTGAGTCTCTCTGTGTGTCTACATGGCAAAATGTGCTTTTGGCGATTCCTACTGGAGTGGAAACTACCTCAGAGGCAGCTTGAAGTACTTTGCCAGTCACAGCGACAGCGTTTCAACCAAGCAAGACGGAGTAACAACACTTTGAAGGTGTGTTATTGAGATTAAGTTTGAAGGTGCATTTGTTCTGATTATGGGTGACGGATGTAAGGGTTAGAAAACGGGGAAGGGACCATCGGCCTGGTTCGGTGGGGCGATCCATTCACAAGATTGTTGCTAGTTTTTATTTTGTTTTGGTGAGAATTACCCAATGGAGCAGGTTTATACCTCACCCACAAACTCAGGCTGCAGGTTCACAGCTCAGTTTGCTTAATTACACAGTATTTATACCAAGGCAAAACCTCGCTAAATGATTTGCAATTTTGTATTACATTGTTACGGGCTTGACATGCCGTTTTGTATTTCTGAAAGTCTATTTAGCCAGTCAATAGTTTTGTATGTATCTGTTCAGCCGAAGCAGTTAGCCTAGGGGTGCAAGTGATGTGCAAATTATTCCGTTTTATATCCAGTGGGTTGCAGAGGAACTCGCCCGGCTTGGTAAATGAATATCATAGGTCAGAGAGTGTGTAGCCTGCCTCAGAGATTGATAAGAAAGAGATCCTTCCATTCTCTCATTTAACACAGCCGTCTTATTAGCGATTAAATTGGTTGCCGGCCTCAACACAGACGTGCTTTCTGCCTGTCAGTGGTCTTATTTTTGGCATATTCCTGGAACATATTAATTGGCTTCCAATTGAGGGAAACAACTGTCAGTGACCACAACACTAGACCTTTATAAATTGGGGAAAACATCTGCGCTGTGGCCAGACATTCAGAGGTTTAGAGCCAGGTTGAAGCAAACCTTCAATAACAGCTCAGATCTGTAGATGTAGTTTAGCTGATGTTGCCACTTACAGGACAAAAATAGTGACAGTGGCTGCAATTGCTTCCACTCTTCTTGCAGATAAGGGCACAGGTTAGTTTAGAATCATAGGTCTGGGTTTCAGGGCTTAAAGTGCTTTTACTTTTTTGCTCGGCAGTTGTGTAATATTAGTTAGAAGTGGTTGCTTGCACTTGACATGAATAACATCACCATCGTGTTAATTAATGTCAATGATATATCTAACTTTTTTACTTGATTATCTTCCTCATACAGTGCAGAGTTATTGGCTAGCACAGCATGCACAAGAGAAGCGAAGGCTGCTTTAATTGAGTGATATGACATTTTCAGCTTTGGACTTATCCCTTAGCCTCCAGATAGTTTGCTCTGTATTAGCAAACAGCCAGTTCTATCTCCCACAGTCTGGACCAAGTGGTAATCTGCGATGTCCCTCCCATGGAGAGCGCTGCAGACGAAAAAAACTGGAAAACATTGGAGAAAAGGGTCCGTGACATCACACCAGACGATTTTCTGCTCTAGAATTTATGGTGCTGCTAAATCTGAAACTCAGTTGATATGAAAAAGTTCAGACAGAGTTTGCAAAGTCAGTCTCAATGGAGCAGCTCCAGGCTCTACATTGATACAACATAACAGATGTTCTCTCATTTCCAACTTGAGGAAGAAGCTTGCTAATTTTCCCAAGCAATTATTGGACTATCCTTTACTAGAATGTATTCATTCATTCTCTTTGCAAATGATTGTTTTATCCCTTTAAGCCGATTTCTAATTAGTGTCTGGCCCTTTTATAATGGATCTTATTAGGTTTTGATCATTATTGTTTTCTTCGCTGTGAAGCACTTGTTCAACCTTTTGAAATCTACTATGCAAATAAGGCTTAATGCAAAACTCGGAATGAGTTTAAGGAAGGCTATTACATTGAGTAGTGCTGCCCTTTGAGTCAGTGATAGACAGGCTAAATGCTACAATTGTACACAGCGTAAACACTGCAATTCAGACTTTGAGTAATAACCAAAGATTGGAAACGAAGAGCAAAAACACATCAGCTTTCTAAATTGTGCAGCCGTGGACATCAGCTACCCTCGCCAACCCCATGAGGCACAAAGAAGAAAGAAAAGAGAGAATGAAAAAGTTAAACATGCAACAATTTCTCTTTTGTTATTCAAGAAAGAATGGAATCAATGCAGAGCAAAATGGTGATAATAACAAATAACACTAATAACAGTTTGTGGGTGACAGTGGCTCGGTGCCCATAGATTCTGATTGGTGACTCGCTTTGTATCGACTTGACTGTGAAACCTCTCCCTCACTCTCCCATTTCTATTTTATTCCGTCCCTATCTCCGCTCCTTTGTGTTGGCTTTGGCTCACGCAGGGAAGCGTACACACTTCCCTGATGTAACAACCGGCCATCTCCCGGCATAATTCATCACAACACAGCCTCTACAGTACTGATATTGGCTTTGTGTGTGCGCGAGAGAGTTGAGCAGGAAAAGAGACTGAGAGAAATAGTCTAATATAGCTTCATAATGCGGCAGGCGGGAAAATACAATACAGATAGAGACAAAAAACCACAGGGGACTGAGAGAGTGGCCCGAAGCGATGGAGTCAGTCCACTAGTCCTGGAAGTACACCAAACTAATCTCTCCACACAACCCCACAAATAATGTCCCCTACACCGGATGGCAACCAGGGCATTGTCAAAGAGCGGTTCCCCCCAGATAGGTAAATCTTTCTTCTCTTTCCGCACTAAATGGCAACTAAATGTCAGACTTCTGTTCAAGTCCAAGTTCACCTTTATTGTCCTGGCTCATTTGCATGCTGAGGAGAGTTGGGGAGAAAGAGGGATACGGACCACTGAAGAGAAAAAGGTCCATTTGCTTAGTTCCACCGCTCTATTACAGCTATCAGTCCCCACAATCTCATAAAACACACCCCCGGCTGGTTGCTCACTTGCAAAACAGGCAGCCTAATTCACAGCACTTACAGCAGCGCCTCTATTTGGGCAGTTAGTGTGGAATGGCTTCGGCACAGAAAGGTCTCAGTTTGTTAGCCTGATATCTGGGCACCAGATGGGCGATAGGCAGAAATGGAAGGGCTCTACAGCGAGTGATGGAGCAAACACGGAGGTAGAGAAGCAGTCAGATGTAATTAACGCTCCCAGAAAATGTCCCCAACGAGCCTTTTTCAGTTGCCAAATTAGTTACGGAAAGCCATCTATACTTTGTACCTTACCTAACCCTTGGATCGTTTCCTAATGCTATCGGCGTCCTCATCCCTTATTACTTCCTTTCCCTATTCTTTCTGATGCTGTGTCTTCCTTTACCTTCCACCTGGCGCCACAAAAATAATAGAGGGGGAACGACCACTATTATTTTGATCCTTTCTCATTTCCTCTGTCTTCTTCCTCTCTGTGATTAAGCTTCATCATGCTTTCCGAGAGGGTGCAAGTCCATTTCGAAATGGGAGAGCAGAGGGGGCAGCTCTGTTGGAATACTTAATGGAACTTACCAGCAGTGCTGATCTGATGGAATTGGGGGGAAAGTTGAAAGTAAGTTTTTCCAAAAGCAGCGACCTCAAATACCTCATTAAGGTCACTTTGTGATCCAGGAGACTAACGAGTGGAGAAAGGGTGTGTGGAACAAGAATATTTGAAGGCTGTAGCGGTGAAAACTGAAGGCTGCTCTTAAGTCTTCTCCGAATTCGTTGTCAGATCTCGGCATGCATCAGAAAATACAACTCATCAAAATTGTGAGGATTTGTAAATATTTAATGTGTCCAAGCAGAAACTTTCACAAAGAAAAACATCATAGGTACATTTACATACGCTTAAATGCTTTTTGTTGTTCTTAGCAGATTAAGCATATATTCATAACTGCAGTTTTGACATTTATTCTTTTGACCTATCTACTACTTAATACGGTTAGCACTGAATGTATTTGCCATTTCACTTATTAGAAAGATGATGAATATGCATTCGTGTTAAGGCTGTGTGTGACCTTAATAGTCCTCGAAAATGAGAAATGTTTAATCGATCACAAGCTAAAAAGCAATGAGACAAATACAAACACTGTTATATTTCAAACAACCATTTTGGCCTCAGACGCTGTCCTCATTTCAACTCAAATAAATCCAGCTAAACTGAAAGCTTTATTTGCACTTCAAACATATGGCCTGCGTAACAATATCAGATTGAGATTAAAATAACGATGTGTAAGAGTTTATTTTTGATAAACGTCTGGAACTCAGCCACACTTAATTAGAGCAGCTTGATTGAAGTTAGCTCAACAAACAGGCTCTCTGAAAGTCAAAATCACGCTGGGATAATTAGCACCTGTCAAACAACAGCAGAACAATCTAAATCATAACCTATGAAAAGTATTTTTAAAGCAGCATGTGAGACAGACTGAGTGGGCAGACCATTCAGAGAAAGGATCAGATCTTGGGATGTAGATATAAAAGACACTGTTGAGTGCAGAGTGTATCTGACAGCGGGTGTCCTTTCAGAGGGCTTTAGGGTTTCTGATCTGCCTGTCAAACTGTTTGGTCGCTTTCACTGTGTTTATGCTATGGCAAGTAAAGGCTCTGTATGGTGTAAATCGGAGGCTTGAAGAAAACATATGACTTACTGTACACTTACACATACAAGCTGTGTAAGTGTCTTTCCTGGCAACATGGTTACCTTGATAGGATATGACCTGAAGCTATCATCTCTTCTGTGTATGTAGGATATTAAATTAGAAAGTGCAAATAATTACCATAATGCTAAAATGGTTGGCAGTCGTATTTAGCAAGAAAGACTTTTGTTACACTCCAGATATCCTGCACTAGATGATTGGTGTAAGAAGGTACTAAGAACACTCCCTCTGGAAAAACTGACCTGCAATCTCTATGACAATGTAAATGGATTTATTAAAATATGCATGGCAACCAATTTTGGACATGTTTAACCCCTCTGGATTGGACTTTATTCTAACCAGTTGATAACATTGGATCTGGCTTGAATGTCATGTGACAGAGTGGGAACACTGGCCGTCCATTCGCTCTGCCACCTCTCCTTTAGTGCATGTCTATAGGTCCTGTGTGTGTATGTGTGTATTTCGGGCCTATCTGTATAATTGCAAATAAAATAACACCAGAGAGACGAACTGAAGACCCCCTCTGGTATTAATAGAGTTATCTTAATCTTAAATGTGTAACTCTTGCTGTTGTTGTGTTCAAAATGGGAAGAAGCGCTTCTGTACATATTTGAAACTGGTCATTTGTGTAATTGTTGAATAACATATTCTACCTGTTTATTGATTATGCAGAATAAAGTGGAATGAGGCTGAATTTGATATATTGGCGCAGTCAATCACTGGTATACTGTTACTGTCCTGTATCAGGTGTTGGTTTGGCATTTGGTTTCATTTTGAACCCTAATCAAAGCATTCATTGGGTTGCTAGGCTGACATCATCTTAAAAACAGAGTTGTTTGAATATGTTCAAATTCACCCTCTTGCTCTTTATTGTAAACAGCTACAAATCACATTTTTACTCCGTAGTCTTGAGCCCAAGCTAACGTGTTAAGAAGTTATCACAACGATTACGTTAAGGGCATAAATACCTTTTGCTACACGACAAAACATATTGAAAACATTTGCTCCAATTAAGCAGCTCAACAGACATTTCAAAGGCAATGCTTAAAATCCTTGATCATTGTTCTTTTGCTCAGAGGTTGCCCAGCAGCTCTAAGAGAAAATATGGCAAAGGTAGCAGCTTTTGCCCTTAATTTAGTTCAGAGAAACAAGTAGAGTTTGTCTACCCTGAGGCTCTCAATGAAATCCATTCTAAAATTGGTTACCATTTTTTGTTGCCATAAAGCCGCTTAAAAAAAAGAAACCTGTGAACGCCAAGGTTGTGCTCTAATGAGGTGCTGTAATAAGTTCTGATCTCATCACAGGGGTTAAAAATGGATTATGCAGAGAGCTTTGAACTGTGCTTTGAAAACAGTTAAAGCAGTCACACTGTTAGGGCAGAAAGAAAAACCATCATCTAAATTAACTCCGGGGTTATCTGACTTTTTAATGTGAAATCGCTTCAAAGGCAAAGCGAGGACATTTGCAATAAGAAAAATGTAAAGTGCAAGTGTTGGTGAGTCATTGCTAATGTGCTTAAAAGGCTGGCTTCAAATGGAACTGAGGGCAAATGCAGAGACATAGATGGATTAACTTTGTCTGCACAGGCAAACGTGCACGCAGATACACACCTCGCGTGCCGTTGAAGAAGAGCGTCTGCCGGCGGGGATTCTGGATAACCACGATTGATCCATCGTAGTTCTGCAGGCGGCAGGAGATCTGGGCCGTACCTCCCTCCAAGACTGTCACATTCTCCGCCTGCACCGCCTGACAACGGGCTGAGGAAGAGAGGGATAGACGTTAATGTAGTGTTCGAGAGGGAGGGTGGCGGAGAGGAAGAAAAGAGGGGGGAGGACAAACTAGGAACAGATGCGGAGAAAAACATGTTCAATTTGTACTGCACTTGAGATAGAACCTTTCAAAATAAGGTACTTAAAGCATCCTTCATTTACTGGCCGTTTGTCATATGGAGACAACAAGGGAGGAAAGGAGAGGGGGAGTAAAAGAGAGGAGGAGACAGAGTGATGAAGATGGAGAGATTGAGAGCTTGAGAAAAAAGGACTCAACAAGTAAAAGAGGCTTCTAATGAACAATATGTTCTTATGATTATAATTACTGCTATTCATCTCTTTACGTGCACACATGCAAACAGGCCTATTGCCTCTGGCTGGTGGGAATCACTGGAGAATGCATCAACACACACATTTGAATACAAGATGCCTTATTAAGTCTCTAAGTGGCTGTCTGTCTTGAAAGTAGACACACACATGCATGGACACACTGAAATGTTTGGTTCACACAAACACACACAATCTGATCACACTCTGGACTGCGGCCCTGCCACCACCTGTGTGTTAATAAATAGTTCAAACTGTGGTGTTTCCGTCATCGCCTCAGTATGAAAAGCTTGGCAAGGTGCAGAGCAGTGAGACCATGTCGACAGCCTCGAATGCACTTCGCTCATTCTTAATTCCATTTCTCATCCAGGTGCAGGCTGAACCAATTGATTACACGCCATTATCCCAATGTAATGGCTCTTATTACAGGTATTTGGAAAGTGCTAGAGGGGGGAAAATCACTCAACAGTGTTTGGGACACCTGTGTGAATATTCATGTGTGGATGCATGCACACACGTAAATATGTGGTGTGACACAGGAGACACTCACAGAAACTTTCATACATTATCTTTCAAACTAACTAGCCCGGCCCCTAAATCCCACATTTTCAACTTGGGGGCTGAGAAACAGCGGGGAGCCCCTTTCATGTTGCTGACAGTCAGTAATGAGGAGGTTGATTATGATCTGATTGGAGCGTCCTCTGTTTGTGGGTCAGGCCGTTGCCACAGCTCGGCTGACTCACCCACCCACTCCCCCGTGTGCCCCCCGCTGAGCACAATGGACACCGAGCTGCATCGTTTGAATTCAAGTGATGTATGCGCAATTAGCCATAAGGCTCCAGCCAGCAGTGGACTATGATTGCCTTGAAGAGAGTACCAGCTTGCTGGCCTCCCCAAACTAGTATTTACCAATTTGCATTCCCTCTCTCTCTGGCAAAGTGTTTGCTGTGGGGAGGATTTAGAGAACGACATCAATATCGAAGCACGATGATAAAGCGGGCAATAAGAAGTGCCGATAAAGACGACGGGACTGTATATATTTCAGTGCTGGGGCCAGCAGCGTCTGTGAGCTCTGAACACCTTGAGAAGGCAGGAAATGTTGTGAGACAAACAGATGGTGGCTGCCATAGCAGAAGTTGCTGACTTGACTGCTTTGGGCCAAAACGAATGTCTATATCTGCAACCGGGTGTGTCCTGAGTTTAAGTTTGTGCACACACATGCACAATAGGTGAGCGTGTGAGCAGGGCTTGGCATATTGCAATTAAGCCGCTTTGACATCATCTGATCCTGCCAACTTCATCCAAATGTAATTCTCCCCACGATTTTAATCTCTTTTAATGAAATACTCAAAGCCCACATATTCATCACATCAGGGCAAACAGAAAGACACAGTGGATATTGAACTGAAGAAAGAAAGAAACCAAGAGGGGATTAAGACAAAGGGGACGCTAATACTCCACGGAACCGAAAAAAAAGTCTTCACAATTAACACTAATTGTAATCATTATTGCTCCCATTCTCTGCATCAATATTGTGATTCATATCGGGGGGCCATCAAGGCCTGTCTCCGTCATCCCAATTATTTTACTAATGGCTGTTATAACTCATCACCATGGCAACCGGGCTAGGCCTCCATTGTTTTAAGTCGTGTTAATTGTAACAGTCCTGCTGTGCACCCTGGCCAAGTCAGAGCAGCGTCTGTGTGTGATTAGTGACCCATCAGAACCAAAGAAAACGTGAGGGTTCAATGGTGAGCGCCTCCAGACAAAGAATGGGGTCCAAAGTCTGCTTATGGGAGGAGGCCAGAAAAGCTAATTAGCTGTTCATTTGTAAACCCACTTCATCTGACAGCTGTCACCCCTTCAAAGGAAATGAGTTGCAGTGGCGTAGCAGTAAAGTGCAAAGAAAAGCGACAAAGAAAAGTTAGAATGAAAAATCATCCACCGCTGCAGCGAGCCGAATGGCAGGCATCCGCCGACGCCCGCTGAGAGATGCCACCCAGAAACACCTGCTGGCTGCTGGTGGATGATCAATCTGGGCGAAGAGAACAGAGGGATGGAGAGACGGTAGGGGGGGTGAGGACTCTAACCAGGAAATGATAGCAGGGAGTTAGGAAGCGATGGTTTGGGAATAATAATACCAGCTGGCGGGGGCTGGACGAATACATACGCGAGATGACGCATATTCCTCTCTCGCTCGTAACGCAGCTGGGTAAAAGCACTTTAGCTTGAATGTAAGTTTTTATAGGCTGACATTTCCATCAAGGCCACGAGCCTCTGATTCTGATCACCAGCGTAAGTTTAGTACAAACAGGGAAGGGAAAGAGGAGGGGGGGGGGAGAGAATCAACTTCTGTGACAGAGGTATTAATCTGGCCTCCATTAAATCCTGTGCCTATAATAAAATACTCCAAAAGCGTTGAATCATAGTAAGAGAGAATGCTGAGAGCAATCGATACCATGGTAGTGCACTGACTGCCATGATCAACGGAGAGATAAAACAGTGCGGGGCACAACAACAATCACTTCTCTCTCCAACCAAGCGGGGGCAGTGTTTCATAGCAGTGGATAGGTCCTTTGCATCACTTGAAACGCCTCCACTCTGGCTGTCACTGGTAAAAAAAAAAATTAGCTTTTATTTAGTACAGCAATAGAGATCCGAGGAAGGGCAATCATTTCAAAACACATAAACAAATAAATAAATAATAGGCGGGCAAATTCATAAGACAAGGCTGTTCTGGGGCCCTTCCTAATGGTCTCACAATGGGGTTGAGTTATAAGCCGAGGGAGGCTGGGGAGAGAGGGACACAGGGAGGGGATGAAGGGAGGAGTGGAGAGTTAAAAGTGGGGGATTTGGGAGGTAGCCAGGTGGACTGCTGGCTCACCCTTGGTCACGGTAAATTCTAGAAACTGCCTCAGTGGTGCAGGGTTAGCAGGCTGAATTACCACCCCTCTCCCTCGGTTTCACTCTCCCCTTATTTCACTCTCCCCCATGTCTCCGAGAGTGAAGAGAGGAGACGATACGACCGAAAGACAAGAGATGAAGAAGAGATGAGCTGTCTCCATTTGCCCCCCAAAAAGCCCCCATGTATCCTTGAAGGAGTGCACTCAATGTCTCCCTATTCATTATCTCTGATTATCTTTCAGTTGGAAGCGGGCCAAGAGGTTGTGTTTTCTTTGCATGCCGGCCACGGATTTACAAGGGAATTGCTGCAGGAGACTACAATGCACAACCCGGCGAGCTATTACTACTCTAATTAAAACAATAACAGCAGCTCGTAGTTTCCACTCTTATGGGGTCGTCCGTTGGCAACTTCTCCATCTCTCCCCATCTGGATGTACATGTTTCCCGTTATCCCCCGAGTCAGCGAGGCGAGCCGGTTTCCACAGTATGTATGCAAATGAAGATTGCAATGTCTTTGTGTGTGACGTGTGTGTGTGTGTGTGTGTGTGTGTGTGTGTGTGTGTGTGTGTGTGTGTGTGTGTGTGTGTGTGTGTGTTGCTCCAGGTTCATCACAGAGCGTTGCAGTGCACTGACTCTCTAAAATAGCTGACTTTGACGTTTTTTTCTCCTCCATAACTCCCTTATGCAGACCCACCACTCCCCCCCAATCCCTCTCTCCCCCCTTTTCTTATCCCAGTCTAAAATTATCACTCCATCTCTCACAGGGAGCCAGCACTCTGCCAATCAAATCCAATGCAAAGAAGGAAAAAAAGATTCCCTCTATAAATAATACATAATCCTTTACAAATTTCGCTCTCGTCTCCCTCATTACCTCCTTTCTTTTGCTTTCTCCCGTCCTCCTTCACTTCCTTTTTTTTAGCAAACCACACACCCCACCCCCCCTCCCCTCCCCACCCGCGCTTCCACTTAGTCCACATCTCATAATTCTCTCCACCGGTTGCCTCCGTGTCTAATCTCACTCTCACCATCTTCCTCTTTTCTCCTTTTATTCAAACCCCCAGTCTCTCCATCTTCAGCCTGATCTAATCCTTTATTCCTCCTTCCTTCATCAATCCCTTTCTTCCTGTCTTCTTCCTCCATCTCTTCTCCCTTATCTGTTATTGCATTGCTCATCATGCATCTTCCTCATCGGAGCTGTCCTAAAGCTCCTGGGCCTCAGGAGAATTGTTGCAACTCTTTCTCTGTCTCTCTCTCTCTCTCTCTCTCTCCCGTTAGTTGCGTTCTCTTTTCTCCATCTTTTCGTCCCTTCTTTTCGTTCTTCATGTTGTCCTCTCCCCCCTCCACCCTTGCAATAGCTTCCTTCCAAGCTGCAATAGGCTTTCTTTGCCATGCAATCTCTCTCTTTCTTTCTCTTCTTCTGACTCAGTGGGAATCTTTTCCTGCCTCTGTGCTGGTTCCATCTCCACACTCCCCTTCCCCAAATGTGATTTGTTCTGCAGCTCAAGTCTGCAGCATAATCGCGCTGTTTTTATAGTGTGCTGGGAAAGAGCACGGGGAAAGACAGAAACAAAAGTGAGGCAGGGGGACAGAATAAATGTGTGGAGCGAGAGACTGAATATATCGTTTCTGCTTCCTCCCTTATTCTCTAATTAATCTTATTTTATTGCAAGTTATAAAGCTCTCTCTCAACTTCCTCTCTCCGTCTGTGTTCTTTGATAATCTTTCTCCCCATTCGTCAGGAACCTCCCCCTCTCTCCATCGCCCACCGATACATTGAGCGTAATCCCTGGTCACACTTGACCTCTCATTAGAAACATTTACGTTCATTCATTTTTCATATTTCACATCTTTTTTTAAACACTCTTGACTCTGCTTCCCAGTCACACTTCCTCCATCCTCAGCATTACAAACCTTCTTCCTCTCATCCCCCTTTTTCCTTTCAACCCCCCCCCC